ATATTTGAATTTATTACATACTGTATATGTGATGACTCCCCCAGACACTTCCCCAGATGCCTCTCCGGATGTCATTTTGAAGGAGGATGAGCCAGTCCCAGGCATGACAGGAGAGGAATTGGGCAATGGCTCTGAGGAAGGGGCTGTGAGTCCAAGTCAGGGGGAGTGGTTGATGAGAGAGAAACTGGACGACCAGCTGGCTGAGAGGGATTTGGCTGAAGCACAGCTGCAGCAGGACAGCCCTGAGGCTTCAGATGGGGAAAGAGGAACTGCCTTCTGCACCTGATCCAAGAACACGTAGGGAAGAGAAAAGGCAGGAGCAGCGAAGGTCATCCCGACTATTTGTGAGGAGGCAGCCTCATCCCTCTTGATGGGTTGCACCAGAAGCTGGCTATTTAGCACAGCTGACAGATGGAGGTGATGCTGGGAACAACATGTTCGTTTCCTAGCTGTGTGTTTCCTGATTGTTGTGATTCCTGCCTTGCTTTGGATTGACAACCGTGCCTTGACTTTGGATTGTGCCTTGTGAACTCTGGACTTTTCTCACCTTCTTGTGTTGTGGATTTAATTTTGCCTGGTGGATTTGTCATTTGGAAAACTTTCAAGTGACCTGTGGACTCATTGGCCATTGCTCTGTGGACTAGCATTGGTCTGCTTTTGGCTGGACTTAGTTGGGACAGTTCTGAGTTTTTGGTGAAGGAAATTGCTGGGGAATTTTAATAAACCCACTAAATTAACATTGCATATGAATGAATGGGACAAGCACACTATAACATGTAATGATTCCAAAATTATTTCCAAATTGTTTGTATATTAAAAGTATATAAAATGCTATCTAGCCAGAATTAAAGCCATTTTAGAGGCACCTATTTCAGCTTCATAGAAACGCTCAACGCTTTCCTGTTTCAAATCTTCATAGAAATTTGAATTCCTCCATTCGGTTGAAAAATCTTTATAATGCAGACTTAAAATGAAAAATATTTAAGTCTGAATTATATCTGATACAAAATTCTCCAGCTCTAGATTACAAAGTCAATAATCATTTCCAGAAGTACTAAACAATTGAATTGAATATTCATAAAATTATGGAATACCTGAGGGAGGGAGGGAGGGAGGGAGGGAGGGAGGGAGGAAGGAAGGAAGGAAGGAAGGAAGGAAGGAAGGAAGGAAGGAAGGAACTCTACAGTGGGCATTTCCCCAAAATAATGATACAGATTTGATCTAGGTTCTGTTTCTCAATTGGTTGAACGTTACTTTGTGAATTTTTTTTTCTACTGAAGTCAACAGGAAGTTCCAGTGGATTGGCAATGAACGCATTTATCCAATGAACACTTCAATAGGTCCCAACTACAACTTGGCATACTCTTAATTTTTTTTTTTAAAAAAAAATAGGGTTCAACTAAAAAAATCATTACTTTGATCTTATAAAGCAACTCATTCACATGTAATCAATAGAAGTTGAGTTAATAAAACAGTGTAAGAAACTGTTCCAATACTGCTTTTCACTTAGTCCAGGGGTAGGCAACCTTGGCTCTTTTATGACTCGTGGACTTCAACTCCCAGAATTCCTGAGCCAGCATGGCTCAGCTTGGAAACCTCTCCGTTTCCTCTCAGCATAGCTGGCTCAGGAATTCTGGGAGTTGAAGTCCACGAGTCATAAAAGAACCAAGGTTGCCTACCCCTGACCTAAAGATGCTTACAAGAATGGCATAAATATTAGATTGGCTTTGTGGTTACATATATAAGCATATCTCCCTGCACAAATTTTACAATCTTGGATTTTTTTGGTTTGCTGAATGATGAAAAGTGTCTAGTTCTATTCATCTACGACTTTTTTCTGCCCTTTCCACTTCCTCTGAGACAAGAAGGAATATTAATTTTCAGGCTTAACAGGAGTCTGTCTGGAAAACATAAAGAGCTTTCATTTAACTGATGTAAAAATTTATTCTCTCTATAATCTCTGGCACCACAAAGTCACCAGAAAGGCAAAAAAATACAGTTTTAAACCCAAAGAAAGAAGAAACAGAAACTAGAAACTGAAAATAGGGGAAAATACAGCTTTGGCACAACGAAGGATCTTGTGACAAGATCAAAGAACACTCAGAGAGAAGATGCCAAGTAAAAATGACAGATTAAACAATAGAAATCCTATAAATCTAGCAGACACCATCTTACAGAAGATTATTTTTTTTTTAAAAAAAGCAAATATGTGGGACAGTGTTTCCAGTATTAATTTTTAAGAATCTGGATCAATAACCTACTCAAAATGTCCATATTTTCTATTTGGATACCTGTATACTCAGACCCTTATTATTAACTGATCTTCTTGGCTATCCATTGTATTCTCAGGAACCTTCTTGAGCATTATAGTTCAGAATGTACAGAGTACAGAGAAGAGCAACAAAGATGATTAGGGGACTGGAGGCTAAAACATGTAAGGAACGGTTGCTGGAATTGGGTATGTCTAGTTTAATGAAGAGAAGGACGAGGGGGGACATGATAGCAGTCTTCTAATATCTCAGGGGCTGCCCCAAAGAAGAAGGAGTCAAGCTATTCTCCAAAGTGCCTGAAGGCAGGACGAGAAGCAACGGATGGAAACTGATCAAGGAGAGAAGCAACTTAGAACTAAGGAGAAACTTCCTGACACATTGCTACGATCTCTCTCGTTCCAAGGCTTTTTCTGTAGAAGCAAGACTGGGCTAAAAATAATAATTTAGAATTGCAAGTCACCCAGATTCACTTGGTTGAGTTGGGCGGCTGTAAAAATTGAATGAATGAATGAATGAATGAATGAATGAATGAATGAACGAAGGAGTGATGTCTACATTCAAAACCTCATCCAGGTTAAAATTCTGCTGATTTTGCAATGCAGCCTCACTGCCTATGGTTTTTCCATTTTAGCATCATCCCTTTTGAACACAGCTACTGTTGTCTAATATTTAAGGTACAGGGCTAGAAACCAGGAGGCTGTGAGTTCTAGTCCTACCTTAGGCGTGAAAGCTGATTGGATGACTTTGGGCCAATCACCAGAAGACTATAAATTCTAATCCCACCTTAGGCATGAAAGCCAGTTGGAATATTTTGGGCTGGAAACAACCTGCCTCCAGAAGAGGTGAATGCTCCAACACTGGAGGTTTTTAAGAAGAGACTGGACAGCCATTTGTCTGAAATGGTGTAGGGTTTCCTGCCTGAGCAGGGGGTTGGACTAGATGACCTCCAAGGTCCCTTCCAACTCTGTTGTTCTGTTGTTTTTAGCCATGAAAGCCGGCTGTGTGACTTTGGGGAAAATAGGAGGAGAATGGAGTATTACGTATATTCACCACCTTGAGTTACTTATAAAGTAATAAACATGGGATAAAAACCTAATAATAAATAAATAAATAAAATAACTCTAAATTCAACTATAAGTTCAGCAAGATCCTAGTCAAGAATGGGATCCTAAGAAAGTAGAAGAAAATTCCAGCATGCTAAAGGAGAACTTCTAGTTGGCCACACATGGTCCTTAAAATACTTTTTCAAGTGAATAAGCAGGAAAAAAACCGGTACTGGCAATTTCTTCCCTGTAATTCAACAATGATTTCCCAAAGGTAGACCTTCTGAGGGTATAAATGCTAATGAAAAAGCCCCATGGGACTTGTTTCATCACAACGCGTTCCCTTGGGATTTGTGGCCTATTTTCTGGGTGGAAAATAATATACACATCCCATGATAAGGCAGAAAAAAAAATGGAATAAGCTTCCTTCTAAAGATGAAAAGCCAGAATATAAATCAACTGGGATGAATATTCAATTGTCAGAAAAAATCTTCAAAATCTCTGCAGAGGATTCTAAAGTGCTCGCGACGATTTGCCAAAGTGGGCCTTCTGAAACTAATAGGGATGGATTTTAAATGAAATTTGTTTTGGAGAAGCGGGATGTTGCTCAAAAGAATAAAATTCAGGCAGGGTTCCAGCCATTGATGAGGCTGCAAACCTGTCACTGCAGATGCACTGCCTGAATTAATGAGGGACCCAGCAAGACAAGACAGATGGCGAAAACTTGAAGGAAGTTGGCTACATACAACTTGAATAAGGGATCACATTTCAGAACAAATTCAGAAAAGGAGGGAGGGAGGGAGGAAGGAAGGAAGGAAATGGGAGGGAGGGGTAAGAGAAGGAAGGGAGACGAGTGGGTGAAGGAAGGACAGAAGGAAGG